TTGAAGTCTTATATTATTGTTATTGTTATAGTTGTAGAGAGAAGACAAGACAACAAGGGAAATGAGAAGTGTTAGAGAAGTCACTTACCCACAAAGTAAGTAAATTCAACTCAAGTGGAGATTTAAGAACTTTTTTTAGTAAAGATTTATGTATGTATGTGTATATCTTATGTTCATTAAGAAATTGTGATGAGATGGATGGTTATTTCTATTTATGAGTTATGAGAAGAGTTGAGATTTTATGATGTTGAGTTGAGTTTGATGGAAGTTAGAGAGAGTTTTGAGCCAAATTCTTTGGGAGTGTCTTTCTTTGACAGGAACTTAGAGAGTATGAGAGAGTTTCTCCCATTTTGGGATGATTGGGAGAAGAGTTAAAGAGTAAGTAGAGTTTTATATGCACATGAGTTGTATGATGAAATGCTTAAGTAAGACATGAGTAAGAGTGGAGAACCTTAATCATTGCTACATGGCATAATTGCATTTCATGAGTGCATTAATGAGTATGAGTCATTCATATGCATTAATTGCATTAGAGAAAAAGAGTAGAGCATTTTGAGTGTAAGCTTTATTAAGAGAAAAGAGAAAAAAAAAAAAAGAATAGAGTAGGTTGTGCGATGGGGAACCCGTGAGTTATGGGTAGAGTATTCCCGCATGTACGCCGCATTGAGAGAGCGGCATGAGTATGAGAGAGAGAAGTGGTGTAGCCCGTGAGAGTGCATGCGGATGAGGGCTATACCCGAGAGTACCTGAGAGAGAGTTTATACACTCACATGGCCAAGGGTTTTGAATTCATGCATAACCGAGTCCGATCGGCTAGAACGAGTAGAAGTCACGTAGAGCGGGAGCGAGTTTCGGCCGTGCCTCCGGTAAGATGAGGTCGTGACTTACTAAAGAAAGTTATGAGAAAGAGGAAATAGAGAGAAATATAAGAGAGAGAGAGTCAATGAGTGTTGTAAGGAAAGAATCAGAGAGAGAGTTACGGGGTTAGACGAATAGGGGATTTACTTACTGAGCATTGTTTTAGTGCTCACCCCGTTGTTTCCTATGTTTTGCAAGATCTAGGTGAGGACACAGTCGGATGGGCGTCGGCAAGCGAAGGGAAATGGCTACGCTATCCACCTTGTTTTTGATAATTTTGTACATGATACAAATTTTGTATAAAGAATGTATATGTTTAATGAAAGAAACATTTGGACCCAACTTTTTATACTATTTTATATGTATTTTATTATGTATATGTTTTATGAGTATTTGAATAGAAAGCGGCTATTACACTTTTGGTATCTAAATGTTTTATGAGTATTTGAGTAGAAAGCGGCTATTACAGATCTGGCTGGAAAATGCCAGATCAACGGCCAGATCTAGCCATCAACGGCTGCAAAAGGCCAAATCTTGCCGTCAGCGACGGCTAAAGATATGGTTGTCGTTGTTGGTCAACGAAGGCCATTTCTTTGGCCGTCAGATCAGCGAATTATCGACAAGTTCCGATCGTTTGTAGGTCATTGTGACAGATTCCGACTACCACCGACGGTGGTTGTCGGAATCTGGCAACTATAGGTGGGTGTGGCCGTGTGGGTGCTTTTTTTTAATTTTTAAACCATTTTTCTGGGGGCATTTAATGAAATTAATAAACTTAAAGGGTCTAAAAATAATTAAAAAAATATAATAGTATTTCCTAAATAATTAAACAAAAAAATATTTTGAGAATAGGGATAGAAATATTAAACCAAACGCACCCTAAAATATTTTACTTTTATCTAAGTATAAAAACATATTAATCAATAATAATTTTCTTTTGTCAACAATACCCCTATAAAATTTATATAATTTCAATTTTAACAAAACCCTTTTGTATTATGTATTTTTGGTCTTCTTTTAATTTTTTTTAAAATACTGATAATCAAATATTCACCTTTAAGTTTGAGACACAAAAACAAAGACCACGTAAGAAAGAAACAAATTAATTAATATATTTTGGCTATCCAATTTCTTAATTGGCATATTGTTTAAGGTCCTCATAAATGAGATTAGAAAGTATCAAACGAGGGGATATTTTAATTTTTATCTAATCTCTTAAGAGATAATGAAACATATATTAAAACACCCATGATTTTGAAAACTATCGTATATCCCCCTTGTCATTATTCACACCCTTAAATTTATCATTTGTTCCTTAAAGATTCATTTACGCTCTCTTAAATAAAAAATTAAAAAAAAAAAACTCTCTATGGACATCTTTCAAAAAATTAATGTTGATGATGATTATTATTTGAAAATTATGAAGTCAAAAATGGTGTTAGTTATTGTTTGAAGACTTACGCACTAAGCATGATGCACGTTTCTGAATATTTGACATGTGTTAAACTTTGAAATTACATGAGGTTGATTTTTCTATTTTTATTGGCATTGACTGGTGTAAAAACTAAAAACAATAGTTCAAGTTTGGAAATATTACTGTTGCCTGGCACAAACTAGATTAAGAAATTCACCATGAGAAAACAAAATATAAACGTTGATTTTTACTGTAAACTCCAAATTAAATATGATTTTATTATCAATTCGACGACGGTTGGGCATAGCAGTGCACTACCATGAAAAAAAGAAAAAAAAGAATGGTAAGAACTTCACATGCCCATAAACATCATTGTCAATATTAATCAGTCCACGACAACTAGTTTCTCATACTCTTCTCCAGAGATGGCAGCTTCCATTGTAAGCTCCGGGTCAATGGCTCCATCAAAGAATAATGTCAGCAATTTTTTTGAGAATCCACTCACAAGCCCAACCCCTTTCTGTGTTGCAGCCACCGGTGTACCTCTAGAGTCTCTTAAAGAATAATGTCATCAAAGAACATTTTTTGCACACGTTCCAAGTCTTCATTGTGATTGCCCTGGCTATCTCTGTTCAACCTTACCTTGAGTAAGTGAGTTTGCTAGTCTGTAGCTTGTGAACCCCTTCCATTACGCGCATTGATGCATAAGGTTGAGTCCTGATGGCTCAGTTGATAAGTGCTATCGTGCTCGTCAATGCGTTGCTCATGACGTCGGTTATAACCGGAACGTTGGTCATTGCCAAATTGACGCACATTACTCGTCTCGCGAGCTTACGAGGGTTGGGCTTGTCTTGGGCGTGGGTTAAGACTAGCACAATGATGTTGAGGATTCTGTCGGGTAGGTCGAGCGTCTTGTGGGCACCATTACCTTCTCTTTCATCCATTGGTTATTTCCCCGGCCGCCTCCCGGGGTTAGTTTGTCTGCGAGACTCACGCTTGTGGGCGGAGTGCACCCTTTGACGTCGGGGGTGTAGGTTGCCCTTTGGCATCGATGAGCTAGACTGGTCCTCGACTGAAGTCCGACCCATCGGGGTGGGATCAGTGAAGCGTGGTTGGTCGAGGTTCTGGGCGGTTGGTTGCTAATTTCTCAACTTAGCCACGTGCTGTTGCACCGCCTGTGTAACCATAGTTCTGATCATTTCCACCAGTTGGCTGTTTTCGGGGTTTGATGTTCCTGCCACCTGGTTATTTGTGGCATGCTGAAATGGCGGCAACGGTGGTCAACGCCCAACGACGTCCTGTTTCACCTCCTAATGGGTGGTTTCCACATCGTCGTGGTTTTCGATGGTGATTTTTGATCTTGTACGCACCATCGTGGGCCTGAAGTGGTTAGATCGTTGTGGTTGTTTGCCAGAATTTCTGAGATGTTGGTGGAGGCCCTCCTTTTAGGATCAAAATGTTGATATGAAAATTCGCACCAACCCGAGCGATCTGATTGACCTTGACAGAATCGGAACGGAGACCTTCCTTCTAGCTCCAAAATGTTGGCAGAATTTCTGAGATGTTGGTGGAGGCCCTTCTTCTAGCGCCAAAATGTTGATACGAAAATTCGCACCAACCTGAGCGATCCGACTGACCTTGCGTGATTAATGATAACCAACAATGGAAGAACAATGAACGTAGTAAAGTAAATGGCAAAAGGGATTTTAAAGTGGTTCAACGAGATGAACTCTTGAGCCTACGTTCACTGTTCTTTGTATTTGCTGTAAGAGCTTACAATAGTAATTCTAAGAATATTTTCCAACCCCTTCCTCATCTTTTAAGGGGGTTTATATACAAAGTTTATACAAAGAAAAGAGTGAAATTAAAGGGATTACAATTAAATTGAAATAGAACTTTGATATTCTCGCGATTGGGCATTGTGATTGTCCAAGGATTATTGCCAATCTGATCATTCCCGAGATATCTGGGATCTAAAGTTATCTGGGAATTGGTCGAACGATCATTCAGATTGTTTGCGATTAGCTTATGCTGGGTCGAGCTATATCTCGATGAGCTTATGCTGGGTCGAACAATCAATGGAGTTGAGCTGGTTCTGGATCGAACTATATCCTCGCGATTCTCTGAGCTTGGTGGAAAAATCACACATAACACATATCATCTCAAATTGAAATAACCCATTATTTAAATATATTAATACATTACTTAACTTTTGTTAATGTTTTTCTTGATATTTTATATTTTTAAATGTACACATTATTTAATAATATTATAATAAAATAATCTATTATAATTATAATTTTATTTGACGAATATATAATTTATCTAAATAAAATTATTCAATTATCTTAATATTAATCTTCTGAATTATATTATCTTATTTTCACTAATAATTATTTAAATTATTTATACTAATATTTTTGAGACTTGTATAATTAAATAATTATAAGAAACTTGAAAGACGAATATACAAGTTATTATAATATTATTTTTAATTAATGATTTAATATTTTAAATTATTATTTTCATAATATGGATAAAACTATTTATTATTATTCAATATAATGTTAGTTTAGATAATAAATTAAATAAGTATTCAACATTTTAATAAAAATATTTCACTAATATTATTAATGTGAATATATGAATTCTTATCAATATTAAAAATAATATTTATTATACTATTTTGATAATAAAATATAAATATTGATTTTTACTGTAAATATAAATTAAAAATGATTTTATTGTCAATTAATGCTAATAAAATATATTTTAACAGTGCTTTGAAGATGGTTGGGCATAGCACTTCCATGAAAAAAAAGACTCATATTATTCTAATCAGTCAACGACAACTAGTTTCTGATACTCTTCTCCAGAGATGGCAGCTTCCATTGTAAGCTCCGGGTCAATGGCTCCATCATTGTCTCCAGAGATGGCAGCTTCCATTGTAAGCTCCGGGTCAATGGCTCCATCATTGTCAAAGAACAATGTGAGCAAATTTTTTGAGAACCCACTCACAAGCGCTACCCCTTTCTGTGTTCCAGGCACCGGTGTAGCTCTAGAGTCTCTTAAATTCCAAAACACTATGTCCGGCACCACCGACCCGTATCCCTTCTCTGTGTATTTTCTCACAATAACTTGATAATCTGTTTCCCAAGGATTGATCCCAGCTTGATCAAATTCCATATCACTAAACACGAACAGTCTTTTTATCATCTGTTCTGGTTTTAAGTTCCCATTCACAGCCACTTTTAATATCAAATCAAACACTTTCTGAAAATCAGTATTAGCACCCCAGTTCATGTTCCTCACAAACTCTGTTTTGGATTTCAGATCATCTCCTTCCACCATTTGAAGCTCCGGGTTTTCACTGAAAGTAATTATTTTCCCCTTCCATGGCTCTTCACTTAACTCAGAAACCAGAACACCCAATGCTACTGACACCTCCATCGGTATTCCTGTCATGCTGCCTGAGACGTCACTTACCGCTAAACAGTTCCTCAACTTGCCCTTCTTCAACAAATCATCCACCATTCTCTTCCACTGAAGCTCTGCCACTTGTCCACCGTCAAGATCGTCCAAAGAGGCTATGATCTTATGCGGAAGCAATGCACCCGCTGCAATTTTCGCTTTCCCAGATTTTACTTCTTCCAAGTATTTACTGAATCGTTCTTGGTCATGTTTCAAGAACTTCTCTTTATAAAACTTCATGGCCACAGAAGCTACCCTATAGTACGGTATCGAGTCCCATCTATTTGCACCTATGTACACTTCTGGCAATTCAAGAACCTTCCTCAGTGGCACCAACACTTGTTTTCTCAACCGATCACGAACTCTATAAGCGTAATGAGCCTCTTCGATCCCTTCATATTCAGGATAAGACTCTCTGGGAAAAACTTTTCTTGCGATACTCTCGCAAATCAACGTCGATCGATCAAACGATGAGTCAATAGAGGGGCACCACTTAGCCGCTAGACTTACTTTCCTAAACTTTCCGGCTTCATAAAACTTCATGTCGTTTTTCAAACACTCCGCGAAATGATCTGAAACTCGGTCGTACAAGAACCGAAAATCCGGATCATGTGAATATCTTTCCACGACTTTCTTGGCCATCACGAATCGTTTTTCTTTTCTTAACTTGCTCGCTTTTTCTTTCTCAATTTTGTTCCTTTCCTCTGCGTTCTTGATTCGTGTATCTATTGGAAGCAACGATTATTTGCGGCCTTTTCTTCGTTGTTTGCGGCCTCCTCTGCTTCTGACTCTGTAGCCACGTTTTTCGTGAGACTTTCTTCTTCCGCTTCCCTTCCTCTGCATCCACTCGGCTTTTTGTATTTTCCTCACGTCCAGGCCCTCTATAAGTCGGTAGATTATCTCTGGGAGATCCTTAAAATACCCGAAATCCGCAAACGACGCCACGTTGCAAGCTAAGGTCTTGGGGTGGAGCGAATGTAGCCAAAGCGCAGCCGCGTAGAAGCCTTCGTTGTCGGACTTGCCGGTCCCACGTACACCTCTTAGATTACAGATAAGTTTGAGGGTGGTCAACGGGTCGTGGGCCCATGCAGAGCTAAGTCGGTGGGTCAAAACGTGAGGTGGAGTATTGGGGACGACGTGGAAGAAGAAATCGAGACAAGGGTTTCCTGAAGAAAGAAAAGTGGGTGAAGCATTCTCGGTGAAGCCCATGGGAGGCGTTGCAGCCACCGTCTTTTTGTTGAAATCGGCCACCATTAGATCAATGAAACGGTCAGCCGAAGGTAGTTGTGGGCCTTGTGGCTGAGACTGTGATGGCTGTGGGGCTGTTTTGTGGACCTCTGGTGGACCCAACAGAGAAATCATTTTTGGTTTATGTTATCGTGGGTTCACAAGTTTCAAAGTTTCAGTGATCAGAAGATGGTTTGTTTATGTTGATGAGTCAATGACGTTTGAGTGGAGAACCTATTTATATTGCGAAAAGGTTTATTCACCGAATACGAGCATTAGTTGGTGGCGAAGGTTTATTCACCGAATGCGAGCATTAGTTGGTGGCGAATACGAGCATTAGTTGGTGGCGAAGGTTTATTCACCGAATAAATAGAAAATTGGTGGGGAAAAAGTAAAGAAGACTTTTATTCTGGAAGCAGCGAAAATTTTACTTTTGAGTAAACCAACATATTCCCACGCGAGGTTTAATGAAATGACACGTTGATAACCCTAGTTTCATTTATTTCAGATTACTACCCTTAGGTAACACCATAAATTTGGTGGTGATAGGGTTGGCTTGTAGGCAGTAGCTCGATGAGGACTTTAGTATTATGGGCACTAATTTGGGCTTCAATTTTTTATGACTGGGGAGTCACCAACGGTAAAAAAACACATCACAACAATCAGTTGATGACAGAGAAATTGGTGGTGAAGCTTGGAGAGGTTGAGTGTACCCAAATGAATTGAAAAAGCTTGAGAAGTAACCCAATCTCACTAAGTGGTAAGAATGGAGTTGGTCGGAAACGGTGAATGAGGTCATCACGTGAAGGTATGAGTTTTGTAGAGGAGGTTGTGGGGAGTCAAACGTTGGTCTCAACAGTGGTTTTGGATTTCGGAATCGGTCAAAAAAAACAAAAAACAGTTAGCTTGGATGTTGCTAATATGAGCATGCCTCCTGCCTAAGAAAGCACTGACGCACTTTAGCGTGCTAACGTGTGCTACAGTTCAGTGTATATGACCATTTTCGCAAACGATATTACTGTAAAGATAAGAATATAGAATAGTGATACCAACTTACCATTTTTCTAAACCTCAAAAACATGTCATTTAGTTCTTTGTACGAGTATCATATACTAGTAGTGCTGGATTGATTGATTAAAATTGATAAGAATATGGAATATTTTTACCTTTTAAAAGTATAGATTTTATAGAAGCATCCCAGATTTCTATGGTACATCTAAATTTCTTTAAAAATTATTAGTAAGTCAAATAGCAAACGTTATTATTTTTTCCCCAAATGACGCATAATGAACATTTTTAAGCTGTTTATTTTCCAACCTTTGATTTTATTATTGTTGACTTATTACAGCATATATATATATATATATTAATTCTTTAATAAGGATATCTTAATCATCTTTGGATTCTTATATTTTTTATATTTATATAAGTATTTAATGGTGATTAAGCATAATTTTTGTATAAAGTTAAAGAACTATTTGCAATTATCTTGGTTTAAACTAGTATCATAGTTTCGCCGAACTAGAAAACTTGAGAAATAAATTCGAGTAGAGATCTGGTTGACCAATTTAGGTTGCCTTAACCCCCAATGTTTGCTTCCTTCATTGAGTTTCTGAGTTCAAACTTTAGGTTATCTACCATATTGGTGACTTACTAATTGGGACGCCCTGGTTACAAAAAAAAATAAAAAATAAAAAGAAATTTAGGCTGCCTCATTTGCTCAAGTGCGGACCCAACAGGGAAAATGTTTGAAATTCAAAACTCAAAGATGAACTTTTCGTGCATGTAAAATTGAACTGCCCTCAGAGATAACGAATGGATTCTTTTTGACGCATATAATTTTAATTTTGAAATAAATTTACCCACTAGATTAAGAAAGATGATGATCATAAGCTATTACAAATGTCACTTTGGTCTGACAATCTCCCAAAAATCAATAAATGTTTAATAAAAACATATATATGATTCTGTATTCTTTAGTTGGTTTGATTTTTCTCTCTCTACGGAGTAAATGTATGTTCCCACCCAAATATTAGCGAAATTCCAAGTTCCCACCCTTGTTTCATTTATTCCAAATTCCTACTCTTAAATTAACTTTAAATCATTAATCTAAAGTTTAAGGGTAAAAGTAATTTGAACGTCATTGAATCTTAAATAAAATCAAAAATTTCAACTTAACCCTCAACATCTCAAATTTCTTGCACAAGCACCCCTGTCACTCCCTCCCTCGCGATAGCCACAAAAAAAATTAGATTTGGCCGGATTCTGTCGCCGTTGGACATCACCGCCACCATCACTAGCTTCCCCCACTCTTCCCCGACAAAACCTATCCATCTCGTTTCTTTCTTCTCTTCTTATTCTTCTTCATCCTTTCTTTTTTCTTCTCTCCTTCTCGTTTGCTCCTTACTAATTTGGAATAATCTCAACAGGTGAGATATTAACACTATCTCTACAAAAAAACATACACACATATATATATAAGAAAAATGATAGAGTTACCGAAAGTTACACACCAAATTTGTACACTAAATGACGTGATAAAATCCTGACCATTGATTAATATTAACTTATAATGAATCAACGATCGGGATTTCGTCACATAATTCGGTGCACAAATTCAGTGCACACCTTTCGGTAACTGTAACATTACTCATATATATAATAATAATAATAATAATAATAATAAAAAAAAAGGAACACTTCCATGGCAACATAACCATGAAAAATCTAAAATGGTATCATGTAAAAATTGAGAATTGTAGGGTCTGTTTGGTTCATTATTCTGATACTTTTTAGAATAATATTTTGAATAAAGTTAAATTGGGCGGGTATTACGATGTAGGATTTAAAAATTAACAAAAATACCCCTCATGTTTATTTATTTACTAAATACTCCTATAATAAAATATTAAAAGTTAACAAAAACACCCCCAACCCACCCATTAAATACGGACAGCCGGCCACCACCGCCGGAGGGTTGTTGGGGTGTTTTTGCAATTTCTAAAAAAAATATTTAGGAGTGTTTAGTTAAATTAACAAATTTAGGAGGATTTAAAAGAAATTGAATAATATAGAATAATATTTTGAGAATAAGTCAATTATACTGTTTAACTTTATTGGAAATACTAATAATAGTATTCCCAAGAGTGTAACAAACGGAGCCGTGAATTACGGCTCCGTTTGGTTCACTTTTTTGTAGTTTTTAGAAAAGTTTTTTTAAAAAAGTTAAAAAAAGTTGAATTGGGCGGGTATTATAATGTAGGATTTGAAAATTAATAAAAATATCCCCTATGTTTATTTGTTTACTAAACACCCCTATAATAAAACTTTGAAAGTTAACAAAAATACCCCCAACCCACCCATTGAATAATCACAGCTGGCCACCACGACCGGAGGGCGGCTGGAGTCACCATATCGGAGCATGATCGGTTGGATCTTGCCGGTTGTGCGCCGATATGGCCTTTGTCAGCCAGATCCACGGTGGATCTAGCCGTTGTCGGCTAGATCTGGCCATTGACAGTCAGAGTTGCCCGCATTTGCTCGTCAACGATGGCCAAAGATACGACCATCGTTGATGGTCAACGACGACCATATGTTAGCCGTCGTTGACGTCTGGTTACGACCAAAGATCTGGCTGTCAACGGCCAGATCTTTGGCCTTCGATCTGGCCTTTTCTGGCCAGATCTACAGTGGATCTGGCAGGAAAAGGCTAGATCGGAGCATTACCTGCCAGATTCAGCTGGTAGTGTGCCATTATATCAGATTTTGGCCAACTTCCGGCAGTGGTGGCCGGAATCTGGTATAATGTGGGTTTTGGGGTGTTTTTGTAATTTTGAACAAAAATATTTAGGGGTATTTAATTAAATTAACAAATTTAGGGGGTTTAAAAAAGGTTGAATAATATTGGATAATATTGCAGGCCGTGTTTGGTTCATTATTATTATCCATATTCTGGATCTGATTTTTCAAATAATGTTTAGCACATTATTCCAGAAATATTAGCCTATTTTTTAATTACTTTTAGACCCCATAAGGTTATTAATTTTATTAAATACCCCCTGAAAAAAGGTTTAAAAATTAGCAAAAACACCCCCATGACCCATACTTGCCAGATTCCGGCAACCACCATTTTAGACCCCATAAGGTTATTAATTTCATTAAATACCCCCTGAAAAAAGGTTTAAAAATTAGCAAAAACACCCCTGCGACCCATACTTTCTAGATTCCGGCAACCACCATCGGTGGTTGCCGGAATCTGTACAACGGTCTACCTGCCGACCAGAAATGGCCGAAAGTTGTAGGCCAAAACGACGACCAAGCAGGCGGTAGATCTGACCTTTTCCGGCCAGATCCGTGGTGGAATTGGCCAGCGATTTTCTGACCAGATTTCGGTGGTGGTGGTCGAATCTGGCACTGCAGGTGGTGGGGGTGTTTTTGTCATTTTATATATTAGGGTGTTTAATTAAATTAGCAAACCTAGGGGCTTTTTCATAAATTTTTAAATTTTACCTCGTAATACTCCTCTATCTAACTACCAAATATTATTTTCAAAATCCTATCCAAAATAATAAACCAAACACATCCGTAAATTTTTGGGCATTCTACTGTTTAACTTTTTTGGGAATACTAATAATAGTATTCTCAAAAACCAACCAATCGGAGCCTATTACATTATTCGTCCATAAGAAAGAATTCATGTCGTAGCCTTGTTAAGCACACAAATTTTTCTGGCCGGATTTGCACCGTTCCCGTGAACCATCTCCGCCCATTCAACCGTCGTTTCAGGCCTGATCTAGTTGGATTCCTGCACCACCGAATCCTCTAACACTTCTATCTGAATCCTCACATCACGCTCACCAAAACCCCTCTCTTTATTCTCTAATAACTCCAATTCCACTCATCTTTCTGCATTCCAAGTCTCTGCTAATCGTCGAATTTCTTTAGTGTTGATCTATGCTTTGCTATTTGAAATGTGTTGTGTGTAATTACTTGGTCGCCGACGATTCCCCATCATTTCCAACCTTCCCATAGCCAACCCGCCCACCACAAATTTGACAAAATTCCTCACCCAAAGCCACCACCCAACTCTCCCAAAACATTTATCCATAAATATGATTTCTTCCTCAAAGCCATCATAATAAATCTAACCTTGTGAACAATACCACTATCCTACTCTCAAACTGAAGAATAAATAATTTAAGAAATAAAATGAGAGATGTTAATTCTTTTTTAATAGAGAATTTACATAGAACAGATGGTGTGCATAGTAGGAATCATATTATAGAGACTTGGAATGCGGAGGTGGCGGAGTTAAAGATGAATTTGGGAGAGAAAAGATGAGTGGAATTGGAGGTATTAGAGAATAAAATTCAAAGGTTAAAAACTTAAAATCATAGAAAGTCGAGAGCGAGAAAAATAGGAGGTTTGTTAGCACAACATAGAGTCCATTGTGATTTGGGAAGAAATTAGGAAATGATGGGTTGATTGGATTTACTAAACTTCATACTATATTTTATTAATTTGGCTGGATGGTGATAGTGGCTGGGTGGTTAGAGATGAGGATGAAGTGAAAGGTTCAAGAAGGGGGTGCCATTGAAATAAAATTGAAAATAAGATGGTCAATTCCCAATTCTGCTAATAAAACTGTTAATGGTAATTTGGTAATAGCATTTATAATAATGCTATACTTACAAATAAATCTTATAAAGATCTTCATACAAAGCGATGTAACAAAAAATGAATGGAAGAGTGAATTTAATAAGTTTGACTTTTTGTTTTATTTTTTTATTTATTTTTTATTATCTCACTTTTTATAAAGATCTTTGTAAAATTTCTTTGTAAGTGTAATATTACTTATAGCATTTATTAGATCCCAAAAATCGATAATTGTGTATTGATTTAAGGGTGAGAATTTAGAATTTATGAAACAAGGTGGGAACTTGTGGATTCGCGAAACAAGGGTGGGAATGTCGTTTACTCTTAATCAATCAATCCAGGACTACTAGTATCTGATACTCTTTTCCAGAGATGGCAGCTTCCATTGTAAGCTCCGGGTCAATCGCCCCGTCATTGTCAAAGAACAATGTGAGCAAATTCTTTGAGAATCCACTCACAAGCGCCACCCCTTTCTGTGTTGCAGCCACGGGTGTTGCTCTAGAGTCTCTTAAATTCCAAAACACTATCTCCGGCAACACCGACCCGTATCCCTTCTCTGTGTATTTTCTCACAATAACTTGATAATCTGTTTCCCAAGGATTGTTTCCAGCTCTATCAAACTCCATGTCACTAAATACAAACAGCTTTTTAATCATCTGTTCTGGCTTCAACTTCCCATTCACTGCCACTTGTAATATCAAATCAAACACTTTCTGAAAATTAGTGTTCCTTCCCCAATCCATGCTCCTCACAAACTCAGCTTTTGATTTTAGATCATCTCCATCCACTATTTGAAGCTGAGGGTTTGCACTGAAAGTGATTATTTTTCCCTTCCATGGCTCTTCACTTAACTCAGAAACCAGAATACCCAAAGCCACTGAGACCTCCATTGGTATTCCTGTCATGCTACCTGAAACGTCACTTACAGCTAAACAGTTTCTCAATTTACCGTTCTTCATCAAATCATCAACCATTCTCTTCCACTGGAGCTCTGCCACTTGTCCACCGTCGGCATCCCCCAAAGACGCTATGATATCATGTGGAAGCAATGCACCCGCCGCAATTTTCGCCTTACCAGATTGTACCTCTTCTAAGTATTTACTGAATCGTTCTTGGTCATGTTTCAAGAACTTCTCTTTATAAAACTTCATGGCGACAGAGGCTACTTTGTTATACGGTATCAAGTCCCATCTATTTGCACCAATGTACACTTCTGGCAATTCAAGAACCTTCCGCAGTGGTACTAACACTTGTTTTCTCAACCGATCACGAACTCTATAAGCGTAATGAGCCTCTTCGATCCCTTCATATTCAGGATAAGACTCTCTGGGAAAAACTTTTCTTGGATACTCGCAAAACAACGTCGATCGATCAAACGATGAGTCAATAGAGGGGCACCACTTAGCTGCTAGACTCACTTTCCTAAAATCACCAGCTTCATAAAACTTCATGTCGTTTTTCAAACACTCCGCGAAATGATCTGAAACGCCGTCGTACAAGAACCGAAAATCCGGATCAAGTGAATATTCTCCATACTTTCTTTGCCATCCCGAATCGTTTTTTTTTTAACTTGCTCGCTTTTTCTTTCACAATTGTTCCTTTCCTCTGCGTTCTTGATTCGTGTATCTATTGGAAGAACGATTGTTTGCGGGCTTTTCTGCGTTGTTTGCGGCCTCTCTGCTTCTGATCTGTAGCCACGTGTTCGTGAGACTTTCTTCTTCTGCTTTCTTCCTCTATCACTCGGCTTTTTGTAATTTCCTCACGTCTAGACCTTCAGAAGTCGGTAGATTATCTCTGGTAGACCTTAAAATACCCGAACTCCGCAAATGACGCCACGTTGCATGCAAGGGTTGGGGTGGAGCGAATGTAACCAAAGCGCAGCTGTGTAGAAGCCTTCCTTGTCGGACTTGCGGTGCCACGTACACCTCTTAGATTACAGATAGTTTGAGGGTGGTCAAGGGTTTTGGGCCCATGCAGCTTGAAGTCTTGGGTCAAAGCGTGAGGTGGAGTGTTGGGGACCACGTGAAAGAAGAAATCGAGACAAGGGTTGCCTGAAGAAAGAAAAGTGGGTGAACCATTCTCGGTGAAGCCCATGGGCGGCATTGCAGCCACCGTGTTTTGTTGAAATGGCCACACATCAGATCAATGAAACGGTCAGCCGAGGGTTGCTGTGGCTGAGACTGTGATGGTTTGGGGCTGTTTTGTGGAGCTCTGGTGGACCCAACAGAGAAGCCATTGGGATATTTTGTTGTTTATGTATGATGTGGGGTTCACAAAGTTTTGAAGTTTGAGTGATAAGAAGATGGTTTGTTGTGTTATGGCGTTTTGAGTTGAGAAGCTATTTGCTATTTATATTGAGAACGTTACTTGGTGGCCAAGTAGTGTGATATTATAATGTAAAGGCGGACTGATTTGGCCGGCAACGTTGAGCTGCAAGCGGTTACTTTTCAATTTTAAAATATTTGATGTTTACAGAAGACGGTGCATTTTTTTACTTTAAAAGGTATTTAACTTTCAATCCTTGCGTGATGGAGCGGTAACACTGACATTTAGATGTCGTTCAAACATTCTGCCAAACGTTAAGGTGAAAGTCAAATAACACCTTTGAAAAGTAATATGATTTGTATAAGCAAGGTGTTTATTTTGCAACCTTTTAGTTGTTCTTATTATAGGCTTAGCAGTGTCATAGTTTAGCCGACTAGAAATGTATTGCCCAATTCGATTATAGAGACAAATCAAATCAAAAATTCAAGTTGACCAATTTGATCAGCCGCGGATCCAACGAGGAAAATTCTTTAAAGCGTTTGATAATTCAAAACTCAAAGGTGGAACTTTCTATGCAGTAAAACTGATCTGCAGATTTAAAAAAATAAATAAATAAAAAAACGTTATATCCAAATCAAAGTTATAGATTTCTCTATCAATCTCCTGTGATTGCCTTCCCTGTCAATTATTTTCGCCAATTCGGTCATCTCCAGTATGTAAATCTTTACTAAACTCAAACCAGGATGATCGAAGTGGTGAAAATTAATTGACGAGAGGCCTAGTTTTAAGTTAAAAGATCTCATCTCTCTCTCTATATATTGATTCATAATTCAACGTTTTATGTTGAAAATACTAAATTTTAAGGTGGAAGTAAAGAAATAATTTTAAGCACGTCATATTTCAGACTAAATATCTTGATCTTAGAAAACGATGGGTTGAAAATGAAATACAATCGGACAATTCATTGCCAGTGCGATGCTGGATGTACAAGCAATGCTTTAAGACAGAATACTTAATACAAACAATGTGTCGTATCTACCTACTTGTAAATCAAGAATTCGGAAACATATATTGATTGTACCACTTTAATTAAAAAAACATTAGGTTAAACTGGTTTAATCAATCATAAATATAGAGAATCTTAGGATCAGCAACATAGATCAGCTAGTATGCAATCAAGGCATACGAAGTTTAATTTTGTAATACAAAGTATGGGAACCACTTAGGGTAATTGAGTGTGGATGCAGAGGCCTAGGCAGCACAAATCTCCAACAAACAGCAGCAACAAAACTGCAGCCAAACTGCAAATACAAGAAAGAAGAGGAGGAAATTATAAATAAAAAAAAAAATAAAACCGTCTACCAGCTTTTAGCAGGTCATTCATCATTCCTCAGAGATTCAGTTTAGCTATGAAGCAGCTATATTTACAACATTATATCCAAACAAATTCATGACTCAAGTTAGTGGTGCTTTGCATACAATAGTACAAAGCTTAGAGCAGGGTTGAAGCATTTTAAGATTGTTCTTAAACTAAGAATTGGTTGCTGCAAATAAACATTAATTCCTGTTATCTCTAAGCCTTCTTATAGTGTTCTCTGATCGATTCTATAACAATATGGCTGTATCCTCTTTTACGAAGAGCAAAAATCTAAAACGTTGATCAACATTAAATTTTTCCCTATGCCATTTCACGTTTGGTGAGTTTATATTGTCAAACCCAACTACTCCAGAATCTAGTCTCTAATGGTTCGTTTGCTAAAGCTAAGAATTTTTGCTGTTTCTTCAAAGGAAGTTTTTAAGATTTTTTATCAGACTTCTGTATTAGTTTAACAATCTGTTGACAGATTTTCATTTAAGACATGGCAGTTGGGTGACCTAAGCAATGAACACATATATCACAGAATTGCCTAGCCCAAACAAATTACTTTCGGTAATTAGAAACATTATCATATATCTGTAGAATAGAGACAGTAATCACTTACCATCCTTTAGAAAGGAACAGCAGCCAGTGTCATCTTGCCCTCAGGTGTGGTGGAGGAGGAGGTGGTGGTGGTGGTGTGGGTACCCTTCATAGAAATAGCCTGGTAGCCCGGGGAGGGGGAGGCCCAGGTGGTGGCGGAGGTGGGAAGTCTGGTGGCGGTGGTGGAGGTGGGTAGCCTGGTGGCGGAGGATACGGAGGTGGCGTCCCTGAATTGCATGACAACACAAATTGTTTAACCTCATATAATCAATTACTACACATAAATAACTTATCTTCAGCCAAAGTTCAAGAAAATAACACTTCACATAATAATACGAAATTAAAAAGAGAAAAAAAAAAAAAGAAGAATAAAATCAAATCCCGTACCTGGTGGTGGGTAAGGAGGAACAGGGCGGTAACTCATTGCTAGGAGTTGGACGCTCTAATGGCAGAAAGATAGAACAGTGAGTAACTTGAGTGTGGAGGCCACTACATACACCAAAATGCAGAGGAATTTAATAGACAAAAAGGAAGTTTCCCACTTACTTTTCTTCAAGATGAGCGCCAAAAACTACAAGACGACTTGCCAGTGAACCGGATACAAATATACAATCAAGATCAAGAGTGAAATAAAATTTATCCTTCACGTGTCGTGGCGAAACGACGTCGATCTTAAACGTTCCAACTAACTCTTCTGTTTTTCACTTTTCAACCACCATTCAACATCTAACAACAACTGGTTTGTCTTAACTGATTTTTTAGTTTACAGTTTGGATCTCTCGGCGAATTTCATTTCTTAATTTCCAAAACCACAACTCCAAACAGAACTTCACTCAATTTTTTCTTTTCATAGAGCATCATTTGATGCCCATCGTATGTGATTTCAACTTATAAATGAATAAGTAACTAGTTCCTATATAATATTGAATATTAAATAACTACACCTTCATAATAAATAATATAATTACTTTTAGATAGTTAAATGATTTAATATAAACTCTTTTGTATATTATTTAAGAGATTTTGAGTTTAAATCGCTCACCTATTATTAGTAAAGATAACTATTAAAATTCTTATATAATTGATAATTTTAAAATCTCAAAATCTCTGTGAATTAATTGAAATACGCATAAACTCAGATATCCATGATCATTTAAAAAAAAACATCTAATATTCAAACCAGGACAGATGCCTAATGAAGAAAAGTCTTAATTAAGATGTTTGGACAAAATCTCGTTAGGGGACCCAGCAGTGGAGTTTTAATTATGAGCGAAATCCGTGATCTATGGCCATGAATAATACAATACAGAAATATTCATAAGCTGTGGAAGCATCATATAAGACTCCGAGCCTGGAAATTTCTAGCTTTTTTCCTGGGATAACAACTAGTCAACAAAGTATCAGAAATTGCCGATCCTTTTACATAAATAACCCTTCTGGATAACTATGCCGCCAAGGATTCTTCCAAAATCTGGAATGTTGCTTTCCCTGTCGAGACAGGCTTCATTGCTAAGGAATTAAAGCCGTCTGTATAAAATATCTTCCTTTATAAATGGTAAAGTTTCCCAGCTTTTGATCACCAATCTATAACAAAAGCAACACCAGAAGAATCCCAATTTCATACACATAACTTCCAGTCAATCATCAACCATCATGACAGGAACACTTGAAGAAACACAATCAGGTCCACCATCATCATCTCCAAAAGCTAAAGAAAAAGCATCAAATGAACCCCAATTGTCTTCCACTGTCACAGAGGCAACACAGCCTCAGCCATCTTCAACTCCACCCTCCGAAGAGGAAACCAAGAAATGGGGCACCCACATCATGGGAGCACCAGCTGACCCTACTGCTCACCCAGACAACCAGAAGGCAGCCTCATGGAACGCTTCAGATCATCAGCAAATCTACCAGCAGCCTTACATAGTTTACTCCCCTATTGAAAAGCCAACTAACAACCCTTTAGAGCCTGTGATTCATATGTTCAATTCCTGGAGCCGGAAAGCTGAGACTGTAGCCCGCAACATCTGGCACAACCGTAATTTGCATATTTTAACTATTCAAGAATATATATTTTTATTGATGCATGATCAATTGAATCACCAATTTACCTTATTTTTTAACAAATTTGCAGTCAAAACTGGGAATTCTGTATCTGAAGCTGCGTGGGGAAAGGTAAATTTGACAGCCAAAGCAATAACAGAGGGAGGGTTTGAGTCTCTTTTTAAGCAGATATTTGCAACTGATCCAAATGAGAAGCTAAAGAAGACGTTTGCCTGTTACCTTTCCACAACAACTGGTCCTGTTGCTGGAACCCTCTATTTATCAACTGCTCGGGTGGCTTTTTGCAGTGATCGTCCCTTATCTTTCACTGCTCCATCGGGACAGGAGACTTGGAGCTACTACAAAGTAATTACATTTTAACTAAATTTATCCCAATCTTGACGATTGTAAATAACCTTTCGGTTGTGAACATTAAATAAATATAACATTCCCTTGGCATGTTTTTGAAACAGGTCATGATACCTTTGGCAAATATAAGCAGTGCCAACCCAGTGAGCATTAGAGAAAATTCATCAGAGAAGTATATTCAGATTGTCACCATTGATGGGCACGAATTTTGGTTCATGGGATTTGTTAATTTTGAGAAAGCATCACATCACCTCCTGGAAAGCGTGACAGAATACAGAGCAACTGGGAGTGCAGGACAACCAGTACATGGCTAGCATTTTTGTTGGTCCGTCTTCATCCTTCTTGAAACTCTGATATTCTCTGCTTGTAGTTGATTTCTACTATGTAAAAAGTATGGTGCACCTGTCAGTTGGGTTAAATTCATATATGTTTCCAATTCCATTTTCATGTGTATTCGTTTGTTTGTTCCTAGACTACGATGTTTTCATACCAATATGTAAAACTTTTGGACCGAGTTTTCTTGTAGATATGTTTCAATAAACTTATACAACCATATTTGTGTAATCTTTGACAGACTGATAAATTTGTGAACTTTCATTCTGTGTATAAATCTTCTCTTGCTTCAGCTTAGCTGGGATATTATTTATGTTGGGGAGGTGAATTATATTCTGAAAAGCAGAGAAGCATTAAGCTAAATAAGTTATTAATCTCTGATTTACATTTTATGAACTTCTAATCCATGAACTTGTACGATTTCATAAAAGGTAGAGTTGAGTGCATCAATATCATTACAAGTTGAAGCTCACAATTGTTAAATTTACACTAATAACTAAAATTTCAAAAGCTCAAATTCAACATAAAGGTCTTAAAATTGTAGGAAATTCCTAATGCCTCCAGGAACCAACGGTGCCGCTTTCTAAGAAGGCACAAAAGCCACAGGCCGGAAAGTCAAGAGTATTGATCCAGTGATAATATTTAGACCCAGTCCATGAACCCAAAATCAAACTCAATATAAACCCTAAACCCAGTTTGCTCTTGGGTTGGGTTACGCTTGAGGATATAAAAACCCAATTATTGGCAAGTTACTTTAATGGGTAGGGCGCGAAGATTTTCAATGTTTTAAACATAGTGAAGCACACCCATGGGAAGTTATACTGAAACTGATGAGACACTAATTTCAAAGGAATGATTCTGATTGTGAACTCACTTTCAAGATGACCTAATAATTTTTGTAGTGTGCTTACATTTCCCGTGAAGTATCCCGAAATGTAATGAGGAGATAATCATATAATATGAGCCATATATATGCATCTTCATTTGACCTAACTGGAGGAATCAGTTGATGATGGTCCAAATGAAAAAAAAATCCAATCACTCATTGCTAACACACAGTTCAAAACTAGCTACCAAAAAAAAAATTGAGAATAACATACAGTACATAGGTTAAAAATGTATACACTGTTTTGATTTGTAAAACAGTAGAGAGATGCAAAGTGGAAGAAAAACACAAGAAGAAGGATCATCGAAACAGACAAAAGATACATAGATTCCTTTATAATAACAGGTTGAGTAATGAGGGATAAAATTTTGAACAAGATATGCTGGTCCTTATCTTCCTCAGTCACCAAGTATCAAGTATCAGTTTCTTTTGTCTTTGACCAACTGATATTGATAGAGTAGAGAGAAAACACAAAGAACGAGAGAGAAAGAGCGAGATTTGAATTATTATTGTATTTTTTTTTTTAGCTGATCAGTCACTGAGTACTCTATACATCAGCAGCCTCTCCATCTATCTATGCTATGGGTGAGCAATATCACTGCTTAGATTCCCTATTCTTCTGTAAAAGAAAACGTTCCTTTGTTTCCTCTACTGTCATCAGTCCAGCTATGAGCTACCACTCCATGGACCATCTTCTTCTTTTGTGTACCATATTAAAGCATCTCTTTTCTCTCT